CACAAAGGCCACAATGCTTAACATAGTTTCTGAATATTTAGTCTGTGGTTGTGGACATTTTACGTATCAAGGACCTCAAATAAAGACTAACAGAAGAAACCCAGTATCTTAATTTTTTGTTTACTTTAATTAAGACATAACCCGCCTCCTGTCTGACCACAGTAGCCTGCAGTGGGGCAGGAGACAGCCATATAGGACAGTAAAGTAGATAAAAATGTATCTTTGTATCCAGTGCTACTGGAAAAATGACTATTCCCCTCTTCCTGGCTTGACACTGCTGACCCCATTCTGTGTACTTGCTCTGGCACTCATCTGGCCACACAATAAGATAATTCAATTTGCTAATCCAAGGGAGGAAGGGCAAAAAAAAAAAAAAAAAAAAAAAAAAAAAAAAAAAAAAGAAAGAAAAAAAAAAAAAAAAAAAAGAAAAAAAAAGCGAAACAAAAAATAAATAGTGTTCTTCTGGGTTAATGGAATGAATTAACTTCTCACAAACTTTGTAAACTACCAGAATCACTGCAACAAAGCAGTGCAGCCATGCTGTACCAAACCCAAAGAGAAGGGAGTAACTGGGAATCTCCATGCAGAGCCATTAGGATAGAAGAACAACTTAGTCGGCCTCCTCAATATCCACTCCACTCCCTTACTTCTCCTGCACAATCTAAATGCTGGCAGGACTCTTCAATTTCAGTGACGTAGCACTGAGCACATTCCCAAACACAGGTCTCCCCACCTGAGGCCTAATTATGTCAGCAACCTACTAAAATATAATTGTGGCTTTTATTTGAAATCTCTAGGAACAGCTGTTTTTGACATATGATAAAAAATTATACATACTAATTTAAGATATAAGGTTTTTTTGAAGGTCAAACACAATTTTAACTAAAAAGATCACTCTACCCACAAATGCATCTGTAGAATAAAAACAACCTCCCAGCTATTTGGTGGTAGAGTCAAAGAAACTAAACTACAAGACAGAAGTAGGCATTTGCAATTTATTTTAGTATTTTTAAATATTTTATGAATGTATAAATGTACAACAGACATGCATGAAGTTGTTTAAACAACTTTCTTCCCACCCTTATTTGCATGCATTCTGTTACAGTTTAAGTCACCTAATCACATTCCACTTTTCTCCACACCTGCCACATTCAATACCTTAGCCAGACTGCGATCCAGAAAAACATTAGCACTGAAGGAAGCTGCTCTCAGTAGACCAGTGCCTCGAAAATGCATAGATGCACGCAAAGATCAATACTAGAACGGAAGGAAAGCATTACAAACCTAACAGACAATGAAAGGCCCCCACAGGCTCAATAAGTCCAGTGACGACATGCACTTTAGAGGACATAGACACATCTAACCCCAGCTCCCAGCTAGCAGACTTGAAGCTCCATCCCTCAGTCACAAACAACTTCCTTTTCTCAAATTGCAGTCTCTTGGTCACAACACAATCAATTTTTACTACATTATGCATTTCTTCAAAGAGGGGGAAGTGCCATTGGGTCCTTTTACAATCTCACAAGTGCTAGAAACAGAGAGAATTTATTTGCAGAAAACCTCCTATCTGATGCCTTTAGAATTTTCTAAAGGAAAACCAGAATTTCACAGTTTTTCTTTTCTTTCTAGTTAAAATAAAAACAATTTGTTGTATCTCAGTTCCATTCTTCCTTCAAAGCTAAGAAAAGCAGTGCTAACATGGAAACTGCCCTGTTAAGAGAATCAAGAATATACTATGGTATACCTTCTCCCTGCAATGCCAAGAACTGGAAATTGTACAGCAAAATCAATTTTTGCAACTACTCATGCCTTGGGTTTCATTCCAGGCATTTGAGGAACAACTACAACCGAACATAGACTTTTCCAGTTCATTTTCATAAGCTGGAGCTTTTCTGGCTTGTATGTTATCAACAGAATTTTTAAGAAATTTTGCTTGTCAAGTCCATTACAGCAGATGAAAGTCAATATAGAAATAACCTTTTTTTTTTTTTTCAAGAGTTAGACTAGATATGGGAAATAGCCATATGTCAAAACCACTCCCCAAACAATGCACTGTCATGCCAAAGTTTGGTAATGTTATGTGTAGTAAATATAATTCGCACCATTCCTTGTATGAAATATGTAATATTGGATACTTGTTAGATTATGCCTGTTTGTATTAGTCCCCCTGTCCCGCCCCCCCCCCTTGCAGGCGAGACTGGGTGTATATTGGAAACTGATTTACAAGTAAAAGGATGTGGCTCGCCAGGAGATGGGCCATGTCTGGACTCCAGGTGCTGACCATCGGGACTCCAGGTGTTGATCATCGGGTACTGATCATCGCATAAACGACCCAAGATGGATATCATGGAAATCCTCAGACAGATACATGTGAATACAGCCTTCCCGTAAATCTTATCAGGGATTCACCTACTCTGGACACTGAATTATTCCTCGTCATCACCAAAAAAGTAAAATCTTATTAACCTATGGACTCTGAATAGAAGAAAAGACTGATTGCTGAAATCTTGGCCTCAGGCAGAATTTTCCCTATAAAAACCGCTTGTGCCAGGATGGAGGTGTGTGGGCATAGGGAAAAACCTCTGCTGAGGCTGACTCCTTGTTGCACACCCAGGGCCAACCCTGGGCTCAGCACTGTCTTTTTCTGTGGCTGGCTAGATAGAATTCGACCACTTATAAAATTATTTTTATTTTTAATCTGGCTGAATAAATTCTCATTTATAACAGTAACAACTTATAAATCAGATGGTTTGTCTTCAAAAGAATTAAAGAAAGCATTTTAATCTGATCCATTTCAAGTAACTTCAAGATTCTTGAGATTTTGACAAATTCTTTGTATCCGAGCTGCACTACTATCTCTATTCAGCCAGCCTTCCTAACCTCCACCAGACAAAGGAAAAAAAAGCCAACAAAAACAGAACACTTACATGAAGGTGAAAAAGTGTTTAAAAAAAATGATAATCTAAGAGTGAAGGGAGATTCTTTGCAGTGTTTCTGTTTAACTTTTTCCCCGTTAAATCAAATTTAAAGTTGAGGAGCTTCCATATCAGTAGAGTTCAGCAAGACAGACTTCTCAGCATCTGGACATAAAGTAATTCCCAGAGGAAATTAATCATAGGAAATCACAGCATATGCAGTCGTCTCCGTTCAGTTTACAAAAACTGTCCCATCCCACATATCATTTTGCAGACACAAGCCCAGGGCCAAGAACGCTGTCACAAAGCCTTGAATGGCATTCCAAAGGAGAAAAGATGATCATTGCAGCGCCAGAACAGGCTTTATTCTTTCAAAGTACTTAAATATTTTATGAGTACCTTTGCTTTCACAGGGAAGAAAATAATTTCCTCCAAGTGCAGATCAGTGGATGCTATCTAATCCCTTGTCACAATAATGCAATCCTTATGTACACACAACTCATCAGCATACCATCTACGTCTCTTTTTTTCCCACCAAGCCGCGAGCATTGGTGGGCTAATTGTCGGCTTATGCTGAAAAAGCGCTCAGAACGCGGCCGCCCGCGCCGGGAGCAGCGCTCGCCGTGCCCGCCCGGCTCCCGGCGCGGACGGCCCCGCTGCCCGCGGAGCGTCCCCGCCCCTCCCGCCCGCTTCCTCCGCTGCGACGCCGCTTTCTGCTCGAAAATCGCCATCGGGTTTTTGTTAGCGCAGTAACCCGTTCGTCTCCACGGCGGGCACACAAAGTGGGCCCGGGCTGCTCCTCGCCACTGGGACAAAAACCTCGATTTCATGTTTTTCCCGGGAAGCGCCTCGAAAAAGGACAAGCTCACGCCTTCGGGAGGATATTTTCGGAAGCAGGGGACCCGACTCGTAGGGTGGAAATACGCAATATGAGAAAAGGTGAAACCCACAGTTTTTCTCCATCATCCTTTCACAGAAGACATTATTTTAAGGAGACGAAGGGAAACGCCGCATCCCAGACGAAGGACGTCACTGATTTTTAAATCCGGAGAAACACGCTGCCTCCAGCCCCGGGGCAGGGAGCGAAAGAAGGTCACCCCCCCCAAAAAATTAAACCTCTGGAAACGTCTCCGCTGGAATCGCGGAAATCCACCCGCGGGAGGGGGGGCTGCGCAGCCCCGGGGCTGGGTGGGTGGGTGTGCCGAGGCGCCCCGCGGGCGGAAAGGGGCAGGGAGACGCGGGCAGCGGGATCCAGCAGCACCAAATGCCAGGCGTGGGATGCCGTCCGCGTCCCGCCCGAGGCGATGACCCCCCGCCACCGGCGATCCCCCCGCGCTGACGAGGGGAAAGGGAGGCGGGGGCGCGGAGTAACCTGCGGGCCGGGCGGGGACAGGGGAGGGGGAGCGAGCTGCGCACAGACCGTGTTACCTCCCCCTCCGCCGGCCGCAGCCCGCCCGGGTCCCGGCGGGCGGTACCTCCTGACACAATAGGCACCGGACGGACCGCGGCGCGACCGCAGCCCCTCTCCCCGCCGCGGCTCCCGCCCGACCCGCAGGGCGGCGGCGGCAGCATCATCCTCACTCACCCCTCCGAGGAGGCTCGCGCGCCGGGGAGGGGCCGTCGCTAGCGGGTGCTCAGCGAGCCGGCATCCCGCGGGATGCGAAGCGAGGGCGGAGCGCTCGGTGTCCCTCTGGCAACGGCCCCGGCGTTATTCCCTGCACATAGCGGCGGCTAACGGCACAGCGGCGCGGCACCGCGCCGCACTGCGCACGCGCCGGGGCCGAGCGGCCGGCGGGGCCGCGCTGCGCCTGCGCGGCCCGCAGACAATAGCGTTCCCCGAGCTGCGGGCGCTCCCCGCGCGGGCGATGGCGGGAGGTAAACGGCGCTTCCCGCCCCGATCCGCCCCTGCCGTGCCGGGACCGGTGCTGAGCTCGCTGCAGGCCTGAGGGCGTAGGCGGGCGGGCTGTGCTGTGCGCAGGCGCGACTGCGACCGCGATCCACAACAAAGGGGATACGGCTCGCGGCGACCACCCTTTCCCGGTTGCCGGTGGTGGGCGGTGGGCGGGAACTCTGCCGCCGGCGGCGCGGTGCATGCCGGGACTTGTAGTCCTGGCGGAGGCATTCCCGCCATCGGGAAGCGCGACGGATTCCTGGCGTTGCTAGTTTCAGCTGCGGCGGCCGACGGCAACGGTTGGCCACCAGGAGCCGGAGGGACCCCCGCAGATGTCTCCTCCGAGAGCTCAACGTGGGAAGGTAGAACGGGTGGAACTACTGTCCCGCAGCCTCCCCGCGGGGAGCCCCCGGTGCTGGGCGACGGCGCCGGCTGCTGCCCGGCAGCCAGCGGCGTCCCGATGCGGGCGCCCCGCGGGGAGCGCGCCCTGGAGGAGTCCCTGGAGCGATACCAGAGGCGCCTCCGAGGTGAGCGGCACGGGCGCGGGGCGAGGCCGGGCTGCCCCAGCCGCCGCCCGGGACCGAGGAGCGCCCGGGCCGGGCTGGGACGAGCGCGCAGCGGGGAAGTTGGGCTGGTTGTCCCCACCCCCGATCACAGGCGCTGTGACACGCGCTCGTGTCACCGTAACGCTCCTCGGGCAGGACTGCTGCTGCTTCGGGTGCGGTTTTGGTTCGTGTGAGCGTTTTGGCCATCCTTGAAGCATCGGATTCTAGTCGTGGTAAAGATGAGTGTACAAATGGACTCTAATGAGAGTGGTTGTTTCCCATATCATTGAGTGTTTTCATACCTGACACTTTGTCCAAGAAGCGTGGTGTATAGCCTGACAGAGAGCACCTGAATCTGTCAGCCGTGACACCTGGGCTTACCAGCCTTCACACTGTCACTGACTGGGCAAAGGCAAATATCCACTGGCTTTCTTCAGAATTTGGACAGTTTGTGGGTATGTGAACCTACTGGTGCGAAAAGTTGTGTTCTGAGCACAGTACCCCAATATGGCATGTTGGGATGTTTCCTGTGCCATAAAAAACAACATTGCAAAAAAGAAGAAAGAAACAAGGATAAAACAATGGAAACATTTTCAAATAGCTACTTGATTCTCAGCAAATCTTTTTTTACTTCCATCTCAAAGGAGCATCAGTTCCTTATATTAGCGATAGATCTGTTCTGTTCCACAAGATAGAACTTCAAGGAATAATTTCTATCTACTTCTCCTGTAGATGAAATGGACATGGTAATGCTACTTGACACTTGCAGTTAACAGTTATCGCAGAACCGTTAGAATGACTAATATCAGGGTTGTTTAACTGTGTGTGAGCCTATTAGAGCTGACTGTATCTAATGGATACATTGGATGCATGTATTCTCTTCATACAACTTATTTTCATTTTTTTTTTCTGACTGGATCTCGTTACACTGGATCCATTATATGTGTTAAATAAATTCATAACCTGAATTTCTGGTGAGCCTTTCCCCTTTACATTCTTGGACACAAGAATTTTCTTTCCATACAATGCCAAGGTAGTTTTGATCTCATGCATCTCGGGGTGCCTCTCATGTAGAAATCGATATGGTGATGCACAAACAGCCCCAATACAGGGCGATATAACTCAAGTTCTGTGGTGTTTCTCAAAGAACCTCTTTATTTCTCAGTGATGTGCAATTTTAACTCCTTTAAGCTGTACAGCATTTTCCACATCATTACTAGCAGTGTTAGGAATTCACTGTAGGATAAACATCATCGTTACTCTCAAAGCTGTCAAATCTAATGCTTTACCTATTTCTCTTATATAGTTATACAACTTGAGATTTTTGTCCCCATTGGGATGACCCTGTCATCCAGGTTCTGCAATTTTACGTGGCATGCTTTGGGCATTATTTGATGCTTTTGAAATAATGTAATGCTTGACATTATCTGGATGCAGGCCGAGCTCATGGCAACGGCTTTTCACCACCCATGCAGGATACCAGAAGAATCACTTTACTGCCTTACTCAGTTTGATGGAAGGGTGCTTAAGTTCTCAAAGAGCAGCTGATTATTTCAGGGCAATGTCCTTTGTTGCAAAGGGAAATCCCTCAGAAGATGGGGAGCCTGAGTGTTCAGTAAACTGAGTCTGATTGCCAGAGGGCAGAAAGCTGGACCAAAAAATCCTGATTAAGACCTACCTGGTCTTAGAGCTTAAAAGATAGGCTTTGATAAATAACAAAGGTTCTATAATGTAGTTTTTCCTGACCTTGTATAATGAAAGTCTTTAATGCTATGTGTAGCTCTAACTTAAGAGGGTGGTATTTGTACAGTTGGGGTTATTAGGTTACTGCATAAACTTTCATATAATTGAGACCATTTCAAATGAACCTTAAAAACTTTAGGAGATTATATTTCTAATAAAAAGTCTTCTCAAGGGAGTAGAAGTATTTTCTAAATGATAATAAGTGGTGTGTTGCTGTATTCGTGTTAATAACTGAAAATTGACAGGTATAGTGTGAATGTCCAATGGCCCTTCTACTATACCACTGCCAAGAAAAGAGCATGATGCCTTCCTGTGACTTTCCCCTTTTCTCCTAACAGCAGTAAATTGTGAAGGCTGTTTAGAGTCCAGTTCTTTCTTGAACAGAGAACTATTAGCTTATACTTTTATGTTGAGAACTATTAGCTTATACTTTTATGTTGAGTTTTCTGCCTCTTGAGTGAAGAACGCTCACTCACTGTTGGACCTGAGCCATTATAAGTGCAGGAACAAAGGTGGGGCAAGCAATCCTTTTTAGGTACTGAGCCTGATACACTTGTCTATCTCAAGTCTGTCTTAGGGTATTGTGAAAATTACATTCTGTATTCCACTGCATTGCTGAGTGCAGTGTCCTACTACATAATTTCAGAGAATGGAGATACCAACCCTAAGAGAAACAGATGACAAGATAAGACTTTTTGGAATAAAGTTTCATTTTGTGGCTGTTCTTTGTTATTCCAAAAATAAAACAGGAGAGATGGGAAGTCAAAGCCATCTTATGTGGCCCAGTTTCTATCACTACAAATTAGCTGTCATACTGAAGCAGCTTAGAAATACATTCTTAATGATTTTTTGCTTAGGCTTTTATTTTTGTTTGGCAGGTGTTTCTAGGTATTCTTCCGAACATAAAATGTTCTTTTAAAGGTGGAGAATCTGCCACAAGGAACTTGGCAATGAGGTTTTCGTATATGAGGGTTTCTAGAACTTAGGCAAATGCTTTATGCTCTGCAGAAAGGGCTGGTGTAGGAACTTGTAACAATGACTGCTGTAACAGTGCTTTTAAATATAATAGCTTGGTAAAAGTTATGCTGAAAACTACCTATTTCTCATATAAAAAGAGACCAAGAATGTCGCTATAGGACACGAGAAAGCACAACACGAGCCACTACGATGACAAGGTAAAAAAGAAGAGGGTTTATTTTTCTGACTCCAACTTTTATACTTTTCCAAAGGTGACAGTGGATTGGAGAGTGAATGGGCCACCTCTCCAAAGACATTGAACAAACCACCAGTACATCAACTTCCTCCACTCCCACGAAGGAATGCAAAACAATATGTTGTTTATAGAAAATGTGTGGGAAAGTTTTCTAACAGAATGTAAACTCAGAAGGCTTTAGAAAATCTTAAGAATCAGGGTGACACAAGAAACCAAATCAGAAGGATTTATTACTTTGGAACAGCTGTGCATTTCACATATCTTGGGATCTTTTGAGGCCTGACTGATGAACAGGCTGGTCTTGCTCATTGCTGCATGTAAAATCCTAGCAGTACAGGTAGTGATAGACAGGATATTTTTAGTCTCAAAACTCCCATATAATGTGCTACTTTCCTGGTAGCATACCTGCGTTTGGCAGCCAATAAAGAATGGAATGAAAAGCTGGATGTCAGAATGGGAAGTAAAGTAAGTTCCAAGATGTTCTAAACACAAAAAACCCTATAACCAAATTCTCAGTTTCAGTATTTTTCAGCAGTTACTTGACTGAAAGATATATGGTATAATATTTTAGATTTTTAGCTGTCAATGGAAGAAAGTTGATCTCATTTTGGACATGAATTTTTTTTTAAATGGCTATGATCTTTTTGCTTTCACTAGTGTGTCTATCTGTTTTGTCAGTTACTGTTTCACAAAAATTTTACAGTGGTTTGCTTTGCGTTTTTTTAAGACATAAAGAATCAGTGTGATTCCTTCTCTAATTTTCTAAGGCTGTTTGCTGATTGGGAACCATGAGATATCAGCAAGTGATGCTTGTTTGTTGAATTTATAGCCAGTAATTTCATGTTCTTGTAGACATTATTAGAACTGGACTGTTAGGTTTGGGTGACAGACTTATGATAACTTTTTCATGGAATTGCCGTTTGTTTTCTTCAGTGTATGCTGCTTAATGATTCTAGCAGCTGGAGTTATTTTCCATGTCTTTCAGGCAATTCTGTTGTTTTGGATGATTGATTCTTTTGCTCCCAGAGTATTTTCTATGGCATTTCCAAGTCCATGAATGAGGTAGCTTTGGTGCTTTCATTTAAAGGAGTACTCTTTAGAAAGAGTGCTGTGCAGTGCCTGAGAAAACATCTCTTGTTTGGGCAATGCTAAACAAGTTCAGTGCCTTCTGGGTTTTTTTCCTGTTTTGACTTCAATGGCAAATTGTTTTTACACTGATTTTTTTTTTTAATTTATTGAGTTTGATCCATCAAATTTGGGTGCTAGCTTGTCATTTTTTCATAATTATCTCAGATCCTTTAAACACTGAAAACCAAAGGGCTTAATAGTAAAGATTTTTTTTGAAGTTTCAATCCACATCAGTCCAAATTAAATTATATTGTCAGCTGTTCCAGTAGGAAATAGTACTTCAATGATGTTTTAGCGTAGAACAGGAATACGTGTTTGCATTTTATTTTGTAGAGTCTTGTTAAGACATCAAAAAGACAGGTGTTGATTGATTTTGATATGCAAAGCATAGTGCTGCATGTGAGCAGGTTTTGCAGTATGTTTTCACTGAGGCCATATTTCTATAAAATGTACTGTTACAGAAGTAGCTTAACTGAAACAGATTGAATTGGGAAGACTTAAAAATTAATTGCTTCTAAAGTCATTAAAAATTAATCAGGTTGTCTTTAAGCAGATCTTCTTTGTTGTCCTGTAGTTTGTATCCACAATGTTTTTTAAAATTTCTTTCATATTTAAAAAGAAAATTTTTACATTGTAAGAAACAACAAACATAGCCTTTCTGCTCCTTGGTGTATTGTCTTTTATCCTAATGCCCAAAACTGTGTTCCTTACTTTGGAAATACAGAGTACTGTAATGTACTTATTCCCTTTTAGGCATCCAGTTCAACTCTTACTGAAGTGTTGGCTCTCATGTATCTGGTGAATGTAAAGCCACATTATTGGGACCTCCTAATTCTGTTTCCCAGTGGTGTTTTGCCTTGGACAGCAACATTAGTAATTTGGAAATAGGCAAGCTGTTAAGAAATTTAAGCAAATACTTCATGATGCTTTCCAGAATGTGGTGACATATTTCAGAGGCAGGAAAGTGTAGTTAAAAAATAAACCTGTCATCAGTGTGCCATTGATAATGGTTTTAATGTGTTTCACTGCTACTGGCATGTATATTTTTAGAAAAAGAGGACAGAGTGTAAGAAGATCTCGGTTATCTTTGTGGATGATGTAATAGCTTGGAGTTCAGAAGCTGTAGTACTACAAAGAGAGAGAAGTTCTGGGAAAATCAATATATATGGGCTTGGTTGGTTCTGGTTTGGTTTGTTTTGTTGTTTGTCCCTTGGCTAGGGAGCAAATACTGTTATTCTGGGGTTCTCTGGCAGACATCTATAGGGAGTGAGGAAATGAAGGAACTTTAATGCTCTTAGATGACACACCACAAGACAACTTCAATGACATTGAACATTTCTTGGCAACAAATGGTTGCAACATAGTTTGCTGAATATCTAAGCCATTGCATCACTGAGATACTTCTGCCATTTCTCAATTAGCACTTCTGTCCTCATAGCATCCTGGAATGCTCAAGAAAGGATGAAAAGCCTATGTATGCCAGAAGTGAAATATTTGACCTTAACCCTTTTTTGAGTCATTGCCTTGTAAATGGTATTTGGGGTTGTTTTACTAAATTTTGACTGTTTAAAATATGCTTATGATTTCTGTGAAGTCAGCTGAATCAAGTAAAATAAGAAAGGAATATAAGGAAAAATATACTGAACATTAGATAAGACCTTCCTGTATCATCTGTCAGTAAGTCAGTTCTTGAAAATATTTATATTTATGTGTATAGAGGTTTTCTGTTGTGTTTGTTGGGTGTTTTTTCTAGAATAGTGTGTGTTATTTATTTTTCACACTGTTCAGAAGTCATTGGTCTTTATTAGATAACTGTTTTATGGTGGCTTGGTTTGCTTAGTTATTCCTTTACTCAGGTATTTGTTTCATTTTGTGACATTGCTTTGTAATAAGGTCTGGTGGCATCACTAAAATGCAAAAACATTTTTCTTGGTTTCCATTCCTGCATATTGTAGAAAATGTAGCATGAGTTTTAGGTTTATTGAAAAGTATGGAAGGTGCATATGCTAGGAAATATTTTAGGGTCGAGTATAGTATTACTTGTGTTGCTGCAGAGTCCTAGTGTATTGAGGGGCTAAGATGCTATCTCTAGGTCTTCTCTGAAATATTAGTATTTAGTAAATATTTTGCAAATATGGTAGATTTTTTTTGACTGTTTGCATTAGATAATTGCTTCCAGTGGCTGAATTTAAGTCAAGTAGTCAAGCTAGACACATGCTGAATGCTTGTATTTCTCATTTTTTCCTATGTAAAATATCAGTACATATTTTCTTTTATGTTGTTTATTGTGGCTAATGATGTGGTTGGGTTTTTTTTAGAACGTGCCAGTGAAAGCATCTCTCAACTGAAACATGCCTTGGCAAAAGGTGATGGCACTGGATTTGACCAGTCCTCTGTGGATGAGAGCAGTGACAATGCAGGGAAGGACAATGATGACTGTGGGACTGCAGCCAGTCAGGAACTGCAACACAGTCATGCAGGTAAGGTTACTCTGAAATCAAATGGTTTAAACATTGTTAGGAATTATACTGACTTCAATGAAAAAAGTAATTATTTATTGTATTGTATTGTTGTAATGGTTTTTATCTCTTCCTAGTTAACCAACTTAAACTTTTGTTGCAACACCAAGAAAGAATGGAAAGTGAAGAGTCTTCCTCAAGAAGAAAGAATTCATTCCATGTATGTGTCTTCTGGTTTCATTTGTGTTGTTTGAATAAATAGCATGCATGTTGATTTTTAGTATAAAGAGGAAAAAGGAAACATTGAATCATTTTTACAATCTTAAATTTGAGCACTTCCTGAGGCTATGACCAGAACTTAGTATCCTTATAACCATAATGGAAGGAAAAGGAATCTGTAATTCAGGGTTTATTTTTTTCTCCTCTTTTAGTTGACCATGTAGTGTAGTCATCCATCCTTTTTGTTTTGAAAACACTTGGGATAGACAACAAGGAAAAATTTTTGAAAAAGCAGCCTCTTTTTTCATTTGACTATACCTTAAGGATTCTCAGTGTCCTTCTTATGCTTGAACTATGCTTTTTCTTGAAAGAGTTAGAGGTGTTCATGCAAAAATAGGTTTTGTAGTTCTCTGCCAAAATGCAGTGGTCTGTCCAAGTTTGTTTACTCCCCTACAAGGGCTTCTCAGATGCTGCTTCATTAAAGCAGAAGTGCATCACAGTATGCGTGATGCACCATTCAGTTGCAGAGCAGCTGAGAATTGCTAGAATCTCCGCAGAAAAATAATTCAAAGGCACTGTTGCAGTTTTATCTTTTGATGGCCTACACTGAATATTTTTGATTTATACTAAGCAAGACAAGCAGCTCTTTGCTGTCAAAGTTAACAGCAGAATAATCTAAAACCTTTATTCCTGCTGTGTTGCTTTCAGTTTGTGTAATGAGTATAGCTCTGCTATCCTGATGTTAAGAAATTTTATTTCAAGTTAACTTTTTTGAGTGTTCTAAGATCCACAAGTTTAGAACAGTTGTCCTTGCAAGGTATTTTGCCTTATTATGGCATAGAAAAGAGTGTTTTGTAACTCAAGGGATTGATGCATCATTGGTTGACTTTGGCATGACCTGAGTCAGTATCAGTATGTATTTAGCCTTGGAAGGGAGGAAAAGAATCTTTTATTCCATCTTTGATGGAGTTTTCTACTCATAATGGGAAGTTCTACTAGAGTGGAGAATTTAGAAAATGGAATACTTGTATCTAAAAATCTTGGGATAGTGCTTTCAAGGAGTGGATCAAAGGATGGAGGAATAAACAGAGAAAAAACAGGAATGTACTGTATTGGTACAGCATTTTTTCCTCTTGAAGTTTCAGTGAGAGACATTCTGTGAAGTGGTGGCTTTATTCTCCTTTGCAGCTGCCCTCCATCTGCTTGAGGATATGAAAGTGTTCTGAAGGCAGACCACATGTAAAGCTCAAAAGTGGAACTGCAAAAGTGCACACACACCAAAAATAAGCCCAAGCCCTCATAAAATACAAGCTTGTCCAGTGATTTACTGGACACTGTAGAAATGCTTCTTGTATAAGAAGAATCTAATTTCCCAAAGGTCAAGGAAAGCAAACTTAGATTATGAGTAACCTAACGTTTTGCTTTGAGTGATGCTGAAATACCTGATGACTGTTGAATAGTAAATGACTGCAAGATCTACAGCTAAGTATATTTCACAAAAACTATACATTTTAGTAACCCTTACCACACTTCATACATATAAAATTATTGCAACAAGGTTCCCTTTTCTTGCCCATAGATTAAAGTTGCAATAGACATCAAATGACTAAATCCTTTCTTTGATTACACCCAGATGGTTGGGCAGAAATTTTCCTTTTGATCTACGCTTCATCACCTGAGGTCAAGGCCCAGCAAGATTGCTTCATATAACAACTTCAGTTTTGCAAGCTGGGTTTTGGCTAACCTAGGTGCACCCAACTTCTGTTCCTGACACTGTTGTTATAGCTGGAAATGTGATGGATTCCTGTTGTCTCCTGCCAGTTTATAGGGAGGCAGAGTTTCTCTAGTTCTATGGTTTAGATGCTTGAGTTTTGAGACATTTTGGAAAAATACAAGGTGGGCCCAATTATTTGTGATGTTGGCAAAACTGTTTGTCACCATGTTGAATACTGGGTTCTAGAGCTGCTAAGCATTTATAATTTATAAATCCTTTTCAATATTAATTATTTGAATGTGAACAGCATTTCCAGGACTCAGGAATAGGTGTTCGGTAATTCATACTGATCAGATGTATCTTTCAGTTCGGATTTTAATATTTGGCCAGATTTAAACTCATGCATCTCGTGGCCTCTGTTCTTTCATCCTGTTACGTTATATTGTGAGAACATTAATTAAAAAATACCAAATCAATTTATAATCAATTTATAGCAATTTTGTTATTAAAAAGGTTAAAAAAAGTCACAGAGGTCCTCTGTTCTTTTTGTGTTGAGAAAATATGCTACATGTTATTTTCTTTTTAGTGAAAAATTCCTAAGCACTATTGTTTACATTATAGTGATGTTTCTCAGTTTAAACATTATAACTGTTTTTCAGTGAAAAATAATTTGAATAGAAATTGAGTTTTTCCACATTTTGTAACACAGCTGTGGTGTAATCTTGTCAGAGAGGCAGCTGGAAGTCTCAGCTGCAAGGTGTTCATTACGTTTTCAGAGAAGAGGGATGGATGAAGAGGAGCCAGAGAATCAGATGACTTACAAATATTATCAAGTCTATATTATAGATACTTTAAGAAGTGTGGTTCCTTTTTTGTTTTAATTTTTAAAGTAGTTAAGATTAAGAATTTAAACCAAGATGAATTCTGAGTCAATAGAATATGGGGCTTATGACTACTGAGGTAGTCAGAATATGTGGCAAATTTTGAATTCCTACTCTAAGGGGATGTTTTTTTCAGATGGTTCTGGATATCCTCCATTTGTCTCTGCAATCCTGGTTCCAGATATCTCTTTAATACAGTCAAGATTTATATTTGGTATAATTGGACTGTAAGGTTTTTGTTGCTAGAAACTTTTACCTCATCCTAATTTAGGGATTATACCTTTATAAGGATTGGACAATGAATTTTAATGCATTGTTGGCAGAAACTATAGGTAAGATAACTAGTAGCTGTAATAGCCACTAGTAGCTTGGTTTGCCTTTTTTTTTTTTTTTTGTGGGTTTTTTTTTCTTTTTTTTTTTGTTTTTTTTTTTTTTGTTTTGGTTTTTTTTTTTTTTTTGAATGGTGAATATTTCAAAAGTAATATTTAGAAACAAAGATGTAGGTTTCTGAATCTTTGTTCTCTTTTAGATTTAAATTATATTTAAGAAATATATCATGGAATATTTTTGCACAAAAAGGTATGCTTGTGACCCAAAATCATAGATGTTAGTATTGTGTGAGTTTCAAAAATAGGGATATGCGTAAAGATACTTGTTTTCATTCTGAAGTGTGAACTGGTGTTAATGGAGAAGACTCCAGAAGACTGTGTGCATTTTGAAGCCTTACCAGAAAACTCTAGGTTGTATTCTGTGTACAAGCAAGATCTTACTGCAATAATGGAAAATCAGAAATAACACATGTTGTTCTTTACTTCCTTCAGAAGCCCCCAGAAGCTGTGCCTGCAGATTTACCAGTCCTTTCCAGTCTTGTTCCTATAATCACTGATCAGTCACAGTACATTAAACATTTGGAAGCAGAAGTGAAGTTTTACAAGGTATCAGGTTACTTATTTGACCTAATAAAACTCTGGTCCTTCAAATGTGAAGAACTGCATTAAAAGCAGCTTGCATTTAGACTTGAGATTGATTGCTGTAATGACCAAAACTGAGCCAGATGTAGTTCAGTAGATCCCTTACCCTGTGTCTTGGTATCTGGTATTTAAGGGTCTTTAAAGACATTTTTACATCCTATCACAAATGCAAATAAGCATTTTTTTAAAAAGAAGATTTATAGCAATTTAAGCTGTAAAAAATACAAAATTTCTCTTTTGAGTATTTTTAGTCTCTAAGAGGGTTAAAATATTTGAAAATATTAGTCTAGACTCTTGGTCTCAAGATGCATTTCAATATTGGTAGCCATCTCAAGGAGCCTTTTAAATGCAATTCTTTCATCTTATAGGAGGAGTTGTGTGGGGTGAAAGATCAAGAACAGGCAGTTTTACTTGAAAATGAGGAACTCCATCAGAAGCTGAAATTCTTAACTGCAGAATACATGCTGAGAGAACAAAATCTTCTTGATGCCTCAGTAAGTTTTTATTTTTTGTTGCTTTAATCAGTGCTCTAGGATCTGGCCAGATTATTTTTATGGGAGGGAATACAAATGGTTGTCTGCAAACTGTATTTTAGTCAAAATTTAATGAGAACTTGTAAACATGTATTTCCTTGGGTAACATCTTTATTGTAGGTTTCTAATCTAATTAACTTGTTTATTTGTTCTTATATTCTACAGAACATTATAAGATTCAATACTTTAGTAAGTACATTTGTTTAAAAAACCACCCTGCATAATCATAACTGAAGCATTAATACTTTTATTTTAGGCAAATACTCAGAAATCCTGCCCTGTAGGTGGTAAAGAATGTAGCACACACCAGCCTGTCACCTCATCACTGGCACATAACAAAGATCAGGCTTTTGTTGCAGCAGCTTCTGGAGACAAAGCCAGATGGCCTGTAGAACTGGTTGGTATTACCTTTCTTCACAGAGTCCTACCTTTGCAAAATTATTCAGTGTTGTTGTTCCAGTTCTGATGATCAGCTTTTAACAGACATAGGAGAAGTTTTAGCTGACTGAACCTTAATCTGAGCTCAAATTTTATTCTTTTAAACCTCATCTTCTCATTATACCCTAATTACTATTATTGTGCAGTTAGACACAGATGGCTGGTTGTATCTGGAGATGATGACTTCCCAGAGATAATTTTTGTTTAAAGATGATGGCTTCACTGTACTTTGGAGATTCTTAGGAGTAACACAGCACCCAAGCAGGTGGGAACTAGCTGGTGTAATTTATGTAGCCCTCCACACAAGCTCTTTTCATAATGAGTTGTTCTGCTTCTGGAGCAGTACAGGCTCAGTAAGGTACAAAAGTAGTTTTGTGCAATCTGCTTTCCCTTAGATTAATTGTACACCTTGTACTTTTAAAGATAACAGAAGAGTTCTAGTAATTTAGTGATGATGTTGTCTCCTCCTGTATTTTTAGTTTCAGAGGATATTAATTTTCCTTTTGCTCTGAAGTAGTGGAGTAGTTTTGCTATCTTTTGGGAAAAAAACTTAGGTAATAGAAAAGTTTTTATATATTTTATCCATGTGCATTTGTGTATTGTGGAATTGATATGGTACTTTAATTCTTTAATTATATAGGATTTGAGGGTTTTTTCATGGAAATATATAGTTTTGTTTTTTTTGTGCTAGTATTTTAGAACTGAAGACCTCAGTGATCACTGATCCCTGCAGTTGTTTGGAAGCTATTTTTTACAGTAATTGCTCTTTTCTTCACCTGTCGAATTTAAATCAAAAGAATAATCATGATTGTAACTTTGTTCTAAGTGTCATAGTGAGCAAAATTTATAGTGCTTTATCTGGTTTGTTTTCACCATTGTATTTAACATGGTTGTGGTTGATTCATATACTTAGTTCTTCACCAGGTAGACTGCCTCACTGTATTATAAATAAATAGCCTGTGTACTTGAAGTTTTTATAATATTGTATTAATATGTGCTGACTTGTGAGAGAGCAAGAGCAAACTCAAGGCATGATTATCAGTTTCTGTGAATCATTTTAGAGAACTGAGGAATGCAGTTGGAATTGCAACAATTTACCATATGAGGATCTGGCAAAAAACCTTATTTAGAAACAAAAAATGGGAGGGTATTCACTTTTTAGACTTCCAGAAAAATGAAATATTTAGGTTTCTCTGCCATTAGTATTTCAACAGGTTTATGTCCTAAGGGGAAAAGAATGTGGGTAAAGTCTAGGTTTATTTGTAAAGACTGTTGTGAAGTAAGCAAGACATATCTTCTCCCATATTTTTTTTCTAAAGGAGAATCTAAGACTTCTTTATCAAGAAAAAGTCAATATCCTTGATGATCAAATACAGTCTCTAAGGTAAAGTGAATTTGTTTTTTCTGAAAATAATTCTGAATAAATTGTCACTGCATAACAGCATGAACCACTCTTAATCTGAATTTAACTAAGGTAATGTCTGAATGTCTGAATGTTATGTCTTCTGGTAGTATCCCTGAAAACTGGTTTTCTATTAAGTTCTCTCATATGTAGCAAAACTGAATGTACTGCTACTTTATGGAAACAGTAGCAATATAAAACAGCTTCTCTTTTTTACCCTCTTTCCCCAAAGAAAGGTCATGTAAAGTAGGCCACTCAAAGAAAAAAGAGAAATTAAAATTTTACCTTGTGCGACAACTTCCATAATGAATTACTTTCTACTACTGTTAAATTATGTTTTTCCCTAATAAATTGTGTTTTCATATATTTGAAAATGCTAGACTGTTCTGTTTGTAAAAGAGTTATTGGTAGCGAGAAAAGATAAAAGAATGCTCTCTGCATTGGTGAAACCTGCACCATACAAAGCCAGTTGTTTTAGTGAATGTAAAGGAGGATCTTTAATTTTGACTGTGTAATCTAATTTTTTTCCTTCTCTTTGCCTCAAGTGTTATATTTACTCAAAAATAATTGTTGGGGGCTGTCTCAGAAGTTTGTCAAGTACCTTATTCAGCCTCTGCTTTCTCCTTAGAGGTATGATCTTGCAAACAGGAAGTTCTGCAAAACAAAGTCTTACTGAAGTGAGAAATTATATGGCTTTAAGGGACTATCTTCCCTTTTAACTCCAAGGATGAATGCACACAGGACTTGCTGATTTCTGTCCAAAACTTTCCAACAATTGGTTTGTTGCACTACGATTGTCTAAGAATATATGCAGAGCAAATTGTGCTCAGGTTATAGTGGGTTATATGTAATAGACCAAGTACTAAAATTGGAAAAAGTGCACAGAAGATTTTCCAGATGGAAATAAGAATGCACATAGTGTATATATCATGTGCACAGTAAATCCAGTGCAACCAGAATGTGTCAGACTTCCTGTGTATGTGCTGCCCAGATGGCCTGCATAACAAACCCAAAGCTTTGGATTCATTGCACAATTTGTCAAATTGATCTATATGTGCACAGCGTGCGTTTGTCTGGAACTTCCTGATGTTAACATTCCTATTGCTTGCAATCTCCCCAGCCTAACACATGCTTGGAAATTCTGGAGAAAATTCTTCAGAGCACCTGGTAAAAATTTTGGAGACAAGTAAAAAACTTAGCCTGTTTTTCTGCATGTGTTTAACCTCAGGTTGTGTATATTGCTGGATCTGAGTGAATGTGCTGATTCTTGTCTAGGGAGTAGAGAATAAATATTAAGCTATTAATATTATTAATAAAAACAACAGAAAATTGTTAGAGTATTGAAATGCTTATGCAGCTGATTTTTCTTTTTTTTTTTGCTAATAATGAATATTATACTCTGTTCAGACAAAATTTAAGCCTACAGGTTTTTCATCTAATACATTTCTGTTTAACTTCAATATTTTCTGATAATTCAACTGTTATTTCTCTGTTAACATCTTCCTCATCCTATTGAAATGTGTAAAATACTGTTCATTACAGGGATTCTTACAGTTCTCTTTGGGTAATATTTGTAGTTATATATTGTATATGAATATGACTTGTAGAAATACATAATTTCACAAATTTCTTCTTTATAGAAAAGACCTTTCAGAATCTCAGAAGACATGCAAAGATTTGGAAGGAAGGCTGAAACACCAGAAGTCACTGTTTGCGGCTAGAAATTCTAGCCAGGTTGGTGGTCTGTGCCTGAACTGTGCCCAGCACGAGGCCATTCTTGCACAGACCCACTGCAATGTCCACGTGCAGAGCATCGAGAGGCTGACGAGGTAGGTAGTGGGGGGATGTATTTGTGTTGGAAGTATGGCTGCTTGCATTAGACCATTGAAGTCTCAATGTGTTAGGTTACATTCCTTGAGAGATGTGCATTTATGGAACAATACACTCCCAAGCTGGAGTCATAATGCTGAAATCATTGAATGTAGGTCCCAACCACTTCAAAATCCACAATAGCTTTGCTACATTTTTCAAGTGGGAAAGAATTTTAGTTGTTATAATGTAATTATGATACCTTGGGCTGACCAGATAATGACACAATTTACAGTCTGTTTCCTGTACTTTTTGTGCAGACAAGTCCTTCACTCTGTCAGCACAAATATTGTGCAAGTCCATGTATTTTGATTGATTATTTATTGCAAAAGTTCATTATAATTATGTGGTTGGAAGTTTTTTCTTGCTCCACTTTATTCTCTTTACCTATGAGGAACTTTTCAAATACATCAAAAATACATTGTGTGCTTGGGGTAGGATGCATTTCCTACCCCAAACACCTGTAGTAGTTCCTCCCTGATTACAATAAGACAGGGAAAAGAAGTTCCATTGGATAAAAATAAATTAAATTATTTGTTGCAACCTTTTTTAAAAAAATTGTAGATTTTATTTAAAGATTTTTAAAATCACAGCTATATAGGCTGAATATATGTAATTCAGGGAACCCAGCATTATATCATTTTTCTTAAGGAATTCTGCCAGTCAATTAATCTTCAAAAAACCACTCCCTTTCAAATTGCTAGGAATAATGATAGGATACTGCAACTTTCTCAAAGTTTGTTAAACAGCTATCTATTTATTGTCAGATATGTGAAACTTATTAGAATTTCTGAGGTATTAGATTGAGCCTGAGATGGAATAATGGGTCAGTTAGAAGCAAGGAGACTGTAGGGACATAGAACATATAAGTATTTGGTCAAGCAGGCACTATCCCTCTGCACTAGATGATTATTGACAGGATTTTTGTATTTTTTTCTATTAGCATGTCCAAAAAATTTCTGGCGAAGCTCTATTGCTGAGAAGTCATGTTTCAAAATCTGCTTTTGTAGCAAAAGTAATTATTTGTCACAGATGTTGGAAAATGTGAACAAACTGTAAATCAGTACATTCTTGTCCTCTTATATTACAGTGAGCTTGAAATAAAAGATTTGAACTGACCTCTTTATCCGTCTTAAACCATTATTTCATTTGGAGGTTTAAAGAAATCTAAAAGCTACCTGTACTTGTGGTGCAGTTTATTAAAAACAAGGGTATTTCAGTAGGAATTTTCAAAGGAACTTTATCCAATTCAAAAATAAAATGAAATTTCAAAGTATGACTGCTAGGTCTCTGGCAAATACATAAAAAGTATTACCATTTTACACAACATTAAGAACACAGCAAATTTCAGCCAGAATCTTGAGCTGCACCTAAATCACAGACAAAGATAAAACTTAATTTAAAAGCTTTTAACATATCACAATAATGAAAAGGTGAAATTAAGTATTAACGTTTTACCAACTCTGCTTTACCACTTAGTACAGATTTTAGTGTCTTAGTGAAGAGTTGTAGAATCCAGGTGTTCTATTGTTCCAGTTTGCAGCAAATGGATTTATATTGTCATTTGATATACTTAGAGATTACTTGTTGAACCTAACGCTTTTTATTATTTTTCCCTCTTTTACATTTAATCAGAGTGTAATTCCATATTGCCTTTATATTATCATTTGCATGGATCCCCATTTTGTTACGTTAACAGAATGTGCTCGGTTCCCATACATTAATGACTTGAGATCTGCTCTCTTTACTGGCAGTTTCTCTAATGGTCCATCCTTCTAAAATGAGGGACTTGTCAAGAACATGATATTTTCAGTATCTGCCAAGTTGCAGTCTTTCACTCATGAGTTTTAGTCTTGCTTGCTTACCACCCTAAAGTCTTGTCTGTATGTATTTTATATTTGGCATACCTGTTGTTTGGGTTTTTTCCTCTTACAAAAAGAAATAGAAGTAGTACCTGTTTTTTTTTTTTTTAATATGCAGAGAAAGAGATGACTTGATGGATGCACTTGTTTCAGTGAGACAAAGTATAAAAGAGATGCAGCAAAGAGAATCTAATGCTTGTAAGCAAGTTGAACATGCTATGCAAATGGCAGAAGAGGCCAATTTTGAAAAAACAAAGGTAAATCCATCACAAAATTAGAGCTTTTTAGTGTTAAGATCTAAGGCAAATGTTAATTAGTTTTCATGCTAATGAGAGAATACATGCATAAGACCTTTGTCATATATTAATATGATGTGGATTTAAAACAACTGCAGCCTGTGATTGTTTCTGAGCAGTAATATAAATTCTGAATTCAAGTTCTTAAATTCTCATCAATACTATGAGAATTGGTGCATTTTTTAATTTATGTACTTTCACAGCTAGATGATATAAATTGTGTTGTAGAATTTTCAGAGATATTCATGATATGTCAGAGGATAATCTTGACATCGCATTTCTGACCTACTCTGGAAAGAATAGTTAAAATGTTTACAAACAGTTTTTTTTTTGCCTCAGATGAGAGCAGTGCAAGAACTGACTGACTATCAGAGCTCTTTGAAGATGAGAAGTCTTGTCTAATGCTAAGCTTGTCTAAGCTTCTGTTGTTATGTAAATACGAATGATAAAACCAGCTTTGATCTAATGATTGTGTTAGCCCTAGTTCTGTACACAATCAACCTATATTCACCTAAATTATTTTCTTGATAGTTAGTGACATCTACTGTACTATTAGTGAATTACTGTGGAATTGAGAGAGGGTTGCTTTGGTTTGTTTTTTGTAATTAAATGCAAACAAGATTGATATAATTGTTCTATTGATAAAATTGGTGTTGTTTATCCAGTGCTGTAAGAGAAAAGTGTGTGCTTGTAGGGTTGTGTGTAGTGTTACCTGTTTGTCTTCAAGGCTGAAGAGCAGTCTGGGTATTTTTCATACTCCAAAACTATTTTAATAGAAGGGAACAGGAAAAAAAATTACTTATATTGCATTAATTTTGCCTGTTTACAAGTGCTGGTATACCTCTTGGTAAGTACAAACCACCCTTTTTTTTCTTCCCCAATCCTATTCTTCTTTTAAGTGCTGTTTTTCTTGATAACTAGCATGGAATCTCATAGAACAGTCCAGGTAACAAAAGTGAGAGTTTAACACATTAAGCTTTCAAATACTGTAATTGGGACAACAGGCTGATGGATTGCAAAGTCTAACCTCAGGTGCTTATCATTTAAAACTATCATTTCTTCTTGTCCTCTTGCTTATTGCATAGAGTAGGAAGGAGATATGTTGTGTTTAAGTTTACATAGTTGAAGCAAAATCAGGAATTTATTTTTGACACAAATTTCATAAAAGAATGATTGTTTGAACTTCTCATTGTGTAATCAGAACAGTGGAGCTAGCAAAACAACCATTTCTTCTTGAAATGTAACTAATGCAACTACTTTCTTCTAGAGTGCATTGGTTTAGATGTCTAGCAGCAGTTTTATGCAGGCAATTGTTTGCTGAAGTTGATGATTCTTTCCTACAGAAAAGGATTCAATGCCGTAACAGAGGGATTCTCTCACCAAAGTAGACTTATGATAGGAAAGGGACCCTGAAGAAGGTCCCACAAAATTGCCATAAAACTAATGGAGACTGATAGAGCATTCTCTAAAAAACATGGCTTAACTTGCTCTCCTCTTGAACAGTCCAAAGCCAAAAAAATTGAACATGGGGGACTACTTTGAGTGAAAGAAAAATAAGCAGTTAAAAAAAATAAATATGAAAATAAAGGGTAGGTAATAAGTTAGAATTCCTAAAGGGAGGTTACTCTAGCTGCTTTGAAACATAATATCCTGGATATCAGTGGAATGTTGAAATTAATCTAGTTTATTCATAGGCTAGCAAAATTCTCTTCCAGGTGCTTTGAATACTTAGATTTACTTGTAATGGAGTAGTGTATTTCTGATTTAAACTGACATAACACTCAAATTCTACACTTTGGCAGAGATACAGCAGCATAAATAGATAAGTATCTTCTTTTTCCCCAGCATTTTTAGAAGATAGTGAGGACAGTGTTTTGAGAGTCCTTGAACTTATGTTTCTTCTTTTTTTATAGAAAACCCATCTACAACCCTGTTTTTTAGCACCTGAAATTAAGCAGCACTTTATGAAGTATTTAGTAGAATTAATTTTTGGCAAACTTGATGGTTGTCAGACTTTTTCTGTGTATCTTTACTAACTGCTTTCAGGTTTCTTAGCATTCTGCACTCAGTAATTCACTTTAGGAGGAGACTAAGTGGAAGTGCATACATTTTAGTAATTTTTGCTTCAGGTCTTTAGTTAGACAGTAACCACTGTATTGGCAAGGAGTCAAATACTAGAGGCTGATTCTTGTGATTTGTGTTCAGGAATTTAAAATTTTAAATGTAAGGCAAATAATCATAGTTTTCGAAGAACAACTACATATTTGGAAAATACACAGAAAAATGCTTCCATCTCTGCCATGATTCCTAAAAGCAAGTAAATTACTAAGTTACAGTAGGGCATGTGTATACCTACAGACATAGACATCTGTTTTCATTTTGTTTGTCCTATTCTAGATGTTAACACTGTAGGATATGTATAAGCATCATAATAGCTGCATTAAAAAAAAAAGAAATTTCTAATAGCAAACTGTTTTCTTTGAAGGTAGTAGATAAATACCATGTTTGTTTAAAATTTTTAGGTTTTTTTTTTCACTTAAGCAAATTGGGATTTTTTAGGCTCTAGTCCACTGTGAACAACTAAAAAGTGAGATGGAGCGACAGAAGAATTATCTTGAAAAGGAGTTGGCTGCCCAGCTAAGTAAGAGGGCTGATGAAAAAGAAGCACTGCGGCGAGAAATGAAGAAGGAAAGGGAGGACTTGGCAGCAATGGTATGAGCTGGTTCTTTCTCTGGGTATTACAGTGAATGTATCATCCTCTTTAAACTTCGTTTACTTGTCTGTCTTTTATTTTTAGTTTTAGGTGTGAGAGCTCCATCACCTCTACCATTTCTTTAAAGCAGTGGTAAATAAGTGATGCTTTAAGTTTTAATAACTGGATTTTGTGTTATGTCACTAGATGCATAGTAGGTTGTTGATGTTATGCATTTATTTTAGTTTGCATAATATTTTTAATATGTCAGAGTAAGAAAAGGTTAAGTAATATGTGATGCAAGGTTTGTACCTAGCTTTTTTATTTAAAATTATTATTTAGTTTACCAAGGCAAGCATTTAGAAGTTAGCACATGTCAAATTTAGGATTCTTTGCTACTTTGATCTTATATATACACAAATGTTACAATATCATAATTTCAAAGTGATCTTGTCATATGTTTAGTTTTCCCACCTGCAGAAATGTGTTGGAATTTCTTTTCTCACTCTTACTAATGTTTATAAACTCTCTGAGACAGAATCTGTCTCATCGTTTATGCCATGACCATCGTGATAGTCTTGATAACCTTGTTTTAGGCTTCTAGGTGCTGCTGTAATTTGAGTATAAAACATGAGGGTTTTCTGCCCAATGGAGTCTACAGAGGAAAGCTCAAGCTAACAGCAGTAAGCCTGGGATAGAGGAGGCATTTCTAAGGTGATTGAAATGGGAAGAAATATAGAGAGACAAATACTTCATGAGTTAGTGCTTTTCACACTTGTTTGGTCTGTGACATCTTCAACGATTTCTGGTGGATGTTTCAAAACAACAGAGTGAATTTCTCTCCTGATTGAAGACTTTTTCTTATGTTTTGGGTCTCTTTTATAAGGTGTGTGGCTTGTGTCTAAAAATCTGGAGAACACAAACTGAGCAAAATAAACCATTTAAGTGTGTATAAAAAAACCTCTTTGACTCCGACTCAAGATACCAAAACAGGTATTAAACACAGTGATGGAGGCTATGTGATATTTAAGTATGTAAACTGATCATCAGAGATCTGTTGCCAGGGAAACTGAAATTTAAAAAATAATCTTCCACTGGTGACATTATTAAGCACTTCCTTTTTTGATTCCTTGCTATCTATTAGAAGCCATCCCTTTTATGAAGTTCATTGTTTTGTTACAGAGTTGATTTAAAGCAGAGTATTCTCTCCAAAATACAGTCTATTAGACAAGCATTTCATACTTTTTTTTTGGCAGAATATTTCACATGTGTGTCATCACATTAGTTTCATCACCCACTAAAATGTGTTTTATTGGAACCAATTCCCACTTTAAGTAGTTGTACTCTTTTTTTTTTTTTAATCCTGCATATACATTAAACAGCATATAGTGACACTATGATGATGTCATGCCTGGTAATTAAAGAGATGGGATGACTTTGTAGAAAATTATGATCTATGTTAATGATTTATACCTACATATGATTAACTACTTTTATGTTTTAGGATTATGAGATAGTAGAAATGGTATACTATGGACCAAGTCAAGATTCATCTCAATATTTTGTTGCTTTCTTTATGAAATGGTTTGTTTGAATGGGAGAATTGGCATGATAGATAAATCAGGTGGATGTATAAGGAGTGAAAAATAGTTATGAATATATAATCCATTAGGTTTGGCTTTGAATTTCTGGAAGTTAACCTAGAACTGTCAGACACCATTATTTCCACTTATATTAGTAAGCTTCAGGGCTAAATAGCTGAAGATTCACTGTCTCTGTTTTATTGTTACATTTTTTAATCATCCAGCAAAATTTCATCTGAATTAAATTATAATTTTTAATATACTAATTCTATATGAGTTTTGCACAACAGTATGCTTTGATCTATAGTGTTGAAATGTTTTCTGAACTTGAAAGTTAATTTAAGATCTGTGGTTGCAGCTATTTTCTTTAGCTGGGGGAACATGATATAGGTTTGAATCAATCTACATAAGGATGGATAAGAAGGTGTTAAATAGTACTTACATTGCAAAACTAATGTAGCCAGCTGCTTCTGACACCTTGTCTATAATAACAAGTCCTGGAGACTGGTGCAGTCAGTGAAAAGTTTCAAATAAACTACTGTATGATAATTAAATTTAAAATAGTGAACCCACTAATAAAATAATGTAGCCATATTATGTTATATTATTAATAATATAGGATATATTTTATTGTACATGCTTGATTTTTTTATTACATTTTTAATGCTATGTATTTTGTCTACATGCAGTTGCTTTTGAAGAGAAAGTTCCACAAGAGTTTGATCTGCGGTTGGTCAAATTGCATCATTACAGTGTTTTTGGACTTTTTCAGGTGGCAGCTTTGTCTAATGATGTGGCTATTTTGGAGGCTCAAATAGAGAGAGTTACAAGGGAAAAGAATTCTCTAGTTAACCAGTTAGAAGAATCACAGAGCCAGCTTTCATCTCATGAAATGGAGATGAATAAGGTCAGCACATTTATAAAGGAGCATTGAACTTGTTTTTTCTTATCATTGTGACCTGAAAGAAGAGAATTTTTACCTTGACCCTTTTCCTCTGTTTTGGTAAGGAATGTGTGGTAACTGTACACTTCATCCCAATACCCCAGAGGCACTACAGCTACCCCAATTTCAGGAGTAAAAAAATTACTTTTTCCATTTCCAAGTCACCTTGTAATGCAGAGGCTCACTTTTCTATTTTGCAGTTTATAAGGGTCACTGTTTAAAAAACTATCTCAGTGATTCAGTAAAGAACTGAGTTTCATCTGAGTTGAGACAACATAGAATTCAGTAGTGTCCTTAGTTGCTACCTGTGGGACTTGCAGTGCTGAAATAAAGGGAGCTATTTCAAATCACTGTTTTTCAAGTTCATTCCTTTAGACTTTTTATGTAGTATACTGCTTAATTCACTACTATTGGTAGTACAACTCTTACAAAGACATCTTAAGAATTACAGCTTAACATGCATCTTGTGTAGGTCTATCACTCTTGAGTGCTTTCTTTTGCACATTTCTCAGTTGATTAGAACCTTAATGGGGGTCATAATGTGAGAAAGAAAAAGCTATTTGCTACAGCCTCTTGAAATGTCTATATTCCTTACTAATGATCCCAGGGTCCATCCTACTTCCCCAGTTGTTAACTGCAAGGATTTGAGGAGCAATTTATTCTTTGGGCTTCTAGAGATTTCCGGAGAGGTTTTCAACAGTTCCTATCTTCCCCTGCTGCCCTGGCTGATAGAAAGAGTCAAAAGTATTGCACAAAATTCTCAGCAAAAAGTCATCCCAGCTCACTAGAAGCTTTATTTTATTTTTACTGAAAGACAAGTATTTTAAGAATGTCAGAATGGTTTGATCTACCAATTCTGAAACACACTTTTGGTCTTTCAGGCTGGGTTCACAAATCACTACCACCACTTACAGGGGTGAGGAGGTGGTTGAAAGAGGTAGTAAGTACTAATATTCATTGGTTTGAAAAGAGCAATTTTGTACCCTACCAATCTGAAGTTACCTCTCTTAGGATGATACTGTGGTTCCATTCCCTGCTTCAGTTCATGTTAACACAAAGGTGAATAGGTGGTCACCTTGCAATAGTCCATTAATTGCACTGTCCTGAGAGATCAGAAAACTTCGTTTGTGTCCCTCTACTAAAGGGAAGTCTGGAAAATCCTGGAGGAATTTCCCAACCACTGATCTGACAGGACTCTGTGCATCACCCTGACATTTTCATTGGCTATGTGACATCTTTGCTTGTGAATCTGACTCCTTGTTTCCAGACTCAGTTTGCAATTATTAAAAACAGAAAATAACAACACTTTTGTTTTGAGTTTTATCCAAAATATTGTTTTTCTTCATGCACCTGAAGTCAGGGAAGGAAAACATGGAGTGAGGATTTATTTCCTTAATTCTTGAGGAGACTGAAAAATCCATTATTAGGACAGCACCATCTGCTGATTGTTCTGTGTTATTCCCTTTGTACAGCATGTGGAGGAGCTGAAAGTGAGGATTGCTGTATTTTTAAATTCTACTTTGAGGAAGTGACATATTGCATTTTGTTACATCCTTCAGATAAAGGAAGGAGGAGATAGAAATCCAGGGTTTGCAAGCTATGCAGTTGCATCTCAAGATTTTTTTGTTGCATATAATATTTTAGTGTTTAATAATGCTTTAGAATTTTGCCATTCTTCAGAGCATTTGCTGCTTTGCATTATTTGCAATGCCTAAATTCACAAGTTGTCCTTTTAATTTATAAGTAATACTACCTCTTAAAAGTTACGACAGTTGATTTAGTTTTTTCCTAGAGTGATTTCATTGCAGTATGCATATTTACTTTTCCCCTACCTTTTTTAAGGAGAAAAAAATAAACTGAAAATTAGAAGAGGAATAAGACTAAAAAATATAATTTAATTTGGGTTGCGGAATATATGAAAATGTTTTTGAGAAGCACAGAGGATTGTAGCAGCAAATTAAAAGGGTGTACTTTTAAGGAGCAAGTGCTGAAAGTATATAAGCAAAGCAGGAAAGTAGAGTGAATTGGAAAGAAAGTTGACTAAGAGGAGCTATGAGTAAACACATTCGTATTCTCACTAAGGAATGTGCATGTATTTGGTTGGTTGATTGAGGTGAAATGAACAGGCACAAAGTGGAGGTGATGGCACAGGATAAAGACAAGAAGGGGACAGCTTAGATTGAAAACTGGAAGAATAATAACCCTGCACAGCAGTGAAGTTATGTGAAAGGGATTAGTGATCTTCTGGGGTTTTTCTTGGGTTTTTTTCTTTCTTTCACTTTCTCCTACCCCTTCACATTTCCTCTGAAGTTGATGCCAGATGGAAAGGATTGAGGGGGTAATATAGCAAACACTCCAACAGCAGAAAATAATTGTCCTGTGTAGAAGTGATTTTCTGAAATGTTCCTTTGATCCATTTCTTCTGGACTATATATCTATTTAAATTAGACTGTTTTTTTTAAAAAAATTGATCTTCAGTTTGCAGTAAGTTTGTAGGGCTCTGATCAAACTTTGAAAATTATTGTGTTAACATTTAAAGAATTTCTTTACTAACAGTGTAAAATTAGCAAGTTAAAACACACCTTTAATTAGGAGTGTGATAGATGCTTTCCTTCTAAGTTTTGAAAGTGTTGACATCCCAAGACTTTCTTGGGATTTTACAGAGAATGAGAGAAGAGTATAAAACCAGCAACTGTCATTTAACTGTAGTGATATATATTTATAACATAAGCATTTATACTTAGCAAAATCTTGATCCAAATATATTTGAATCTAGAAGGTAGTGCATTTGTCAAAGTTAATGACTATATAAAGAATTCAGATCCACCTTTCTATCTAAAAACATTTACCATTTGTAGACCTAAAATATCTGTAAATTAAAAATCTGTTGCATTTCAATGACCTGTAGAGGGCACCAAAAGATCTAATTGCAAACCCTGGTCTATGGCTTCTTCAAGCTAACGGATCATGTTGTCTGTGTATCTAACAGGTGTGTGGAGAAATGCGTTATCAGTTGAATCAAACCAAAATGAAGAAGGATGAGGCAGAAAAGGAGCTCAGAGAGTACAGAACAAAAACTATAAGGGAGCTTGAAATTAAGGACCAGGTAAGAGATAATACTGCTATAACTTTGCAGTTATTAGTTGCCTAAGTAGGGTTTTTTCAGAAGCTGGAATTATTCATTTTTCTGATAGTGGTCATTTATTACTGTTAAATGGTTTAAATTAATGGCAAAAAGCCAGCTTTTACTGCTAAATAAATACCTCTTGGTTATCTTCATTTTGTTTTCAGCCCTAGTATGTTCAGTTTTGTGCATCAGTCATTCCATGATTTCATATAGAATTACTCTATCATATTATTCATACCAGCTACTTAAATTCTGTGTAGTGTATACATGTGTTTATACACTTTTTCTCACAAATAAATCCACACATAATTACCTATACATGCAGCCTAACAGAACATTAAAGGATCTAAGCATAACCTAATGTTACCAAAAATGAAAATCATTTATCTTCCAATTTCTTTAAAGGTTTAATGTTACTGAATTCTGGGATTCATAGAAAAATTTAAAAAAACAAAACCAAAACAAAAGTAGCCTTCTAGGAAAAAAAAACTATAGAAAAAAATCCACTTGGCATTTACTGTTGCTTATCTAAAACTGGGTTTTATATTAATACAAAAAAACAATATATGCCTTACAGGTAGTCTGTGAGAAAACATCCCATGCAGTAAGAAAGATTGTTAGAGTAACCTGCAACATACTTGGCAAACAGATTGAACAGGTGTAATCTGCAGCTTTTTAAGTGCCCTTTTTTTTGAGGTTCTATCCATTTTTCTCTAGGACTTCAGACTTTCAGTATTCCTTCTTAATTTGTGATTTGCACATAAGAGTCTTCTGAATACACATATATGATGCATAAGAGGATGATTTTTTAAATATGCTTTTTGTTATTTGAGCACCCTATTCAACTCATTTTGAAACATTCCTTTTCTTTTAAGTAACTGAACAGATCACTCTCTGTATGGCATAAGAATATATGTAGGGTAAAATGAAGTATTTCAAAAATTAAATTTTTAATTATAATTTCCTCAAAATCTGCATGTAGGACAGTAAGTTTATTAACTTAATAGTACAAGTGAAGTCTGGAAGCAATATTAATTCAAGTTGTAATGAAAATATATGTAAAATCCAAAGGAGGAGCTTATTAGGTGAAATAATCCTTCAGCATGTATAGAAAATGAGACAGCGCAGAAGAGAGGTCTTAAAGTGTTCTTTTTTTTCAAGGTTTGCTTTTTTTCACTCCTGCATGCTTTAGGCCTAAGGACACTGAAAAACAAAAAACAGGCTTGTCGTCTGTGTCTTGACAGATATCACAGATAAAAAGAGTTGGCATAATCTTGGCATACGAATAAAACAGGATGTGTTTAATAAGATACTTGAAGAAGTATCTTGGATCTTACATCCCGCTCTCCAACTTGCTTGAGGATTGCCTTTTGAGCAAATTAAAAAATTTAACAAAGTATTTTAACCTCATGTGATGACATACTGGTATTTTAATCAGTGTGGAGCTGAATACACCAAAATGTGATGATTTATAACTTGATATAAAGTGAAATTATGTGAGGGAGGGTGCTCCTATCAGCAAAAATTATTAGATAATTAGATAAATATTAGATATTCAGTAATTATGTTCCTGTATTGCTCAAGTATGATTGTTGATTCCTCAAAAAAAAGGAAGACAAACAGTTTTGAAATTCTCAGACTCAGTAGCTAGCAGCTGTTTTATAGCTGTGGCTCCAGTAACCCAAAAAGTTCTGTATAGGTCCTAGGATTCTTTAACACATTAAAGGCAACCCACGTAGAGTGTTAGAGTGCCTTGTTCTGTTGTTGCCTGTTTGCTGAGGATTTTTTAATCAAATTTTAACAAATGTTAATAAGTTATTGCAAATTTCGTTTAAAATAAATGAAACCAGTTCAATCACATATATCTTTGTATATAAAGAAATCCTGAAATGTTTCATCTTATGTGGCACTGAATAGCAAATAATAATTGTTCTTTGGTCTCTCAGCCATGACCTGACCTTCTGGCTAAGAGACAGAGCTGATACCTTCCTTGGCCACCATCTGTTCATAATAAATACTTTTTTTTTTTTAAGTAGACAGTAATATAGGAATATTTTCATGCGATTCTGTATTATGGGTTTTTTCTCTTTAAAAAAAATTTCATATTTTGGATTTCCTTTTACTATATTCAGAGGGAGTTTACTGTTTCTTGAGGTATAATTGTAATTTTAATTGTGCTGTGAATAAATTTCAGTTTTGAAGATTATTTTTAGTTTACATGGAATTACTTTTAAAAAAGGATTAAAATTATTCAGGTGTACAAGAATAAGCAGAAAACCCCACATGTACAATTTAGGATCACCAGATGCATATATCTGTATGTCAAGTAAATAAAGATTGGTATTTATCATATGTTGGTATTTATAAATCTCATTCAAAATTGAACTTACATAATTTAGAAAGCCTAAAGATAGTATATATCTTTGGTCTTACTCCCTTTTACCCTAATATCTTTTTCCCTGTATTTATTGTTTGGTTTGGACTAATACCCACTTGTCAATATCTGTTATAATTCTCTGTTACTAACATTTTACCTGAATACTTCTTAATAATTAAGAAGCAATGAGCAATGTTACCATTTAAATTGAATAACTGTTTTGTAATATCATCCATCATGATCCTGATTAACATCAGGATTATGGAGGGTGGTGGGGGAAAGACGTGTACCACACAGTTTCTCTACACAGATCCCACATCTGTTCATCTGACCCAATATGTTGTAAAGTACCATAACCTACTGCCCTCTCTTTTTCTCTCTCAGCCAGTCCTCACATTGTGGCTGTAGCTGTGCTGAAATAACAGTGCATCACTTAATACTTTTACTGCTTAGGAACATGCTTCATAGATTATATTAATATAATGCCTTCATGGCAGTAAACTGTGTCCACACTAGGGGTTGTACTAGCACAGCTATATCAGAGAAAAGTCCCACCCTAACCTAAATTGCTGTTATTAGAACAAAAATTGTGTGGCATATTTGACACAGCAGGGCTTCACTTTTATAATACTTTTTTTGTTAATTTGTAAGCCCTGCATGGCATAATTTATTCATTTCTAACAGAAATCATACTTCTGACACACTATGAAATTGTTCCTCAGATTAACATCACTTGCTCTTTTCTGCTCTGCCTTATAAAAATAAAAATGAAGTTCACTTTTAATAATTTGCTTTCTGTTTGCCTGAAATAATTTGTATTTGGCTTAAAATCTTACAAGCCTCAGCATGTAGAAGTGAAAATAATTTTTAATATTGAGTTTTGCAGTCCAAGACAATTTGGACATCCTCCTTATTAGATAGTTCTTACCAGTAGCATGGCTCCGCTGGGAGTGGTGGTGTTGTTGCAAGAAAGTAAGAGGACATGTTAAATTCAACTCCAGAACTAACTGCAGATCTTCAATTTTGTTTTACCATGTTAGTGGAATCAGATAAATACTTTGTGTAGCAATAAATCCAAGCTAGTTATTTTACCTGTAAAAAAGTCTTTAAATTTGGGCAGATACAGTTTGAAGGGGGATTACAGAATTCTGTTGCCTACCTTGTAGGTGACAGAATTAAAAGCTCCAGAAACATTGTACTAAAGCCCACAGATTTTTAAGAGTTGCCTGCATTGCAGTTCATAAGTCCAAATAAAAAGAAGTCAAGACTCACATACATGCATAACCTATACAAATAGGAAGAGCTACACACCAAAGTATTTTTGTGCAATACGACAGAACCTAAATGATGCCTCTGTACATTATAGACTGACAATTTTGCAGACAAATAAAAATCTGGCAAAATTGCAGTCCAAAAGCACTTTGCCAAAGGGTATTTTGGGAATGTTTATCTCATTTGTCATAAATCCGTGACTTATAGTAACCTAATTTAGATGTTATAAGAGGAGAGATTACTGACTCTGTCTTCATCAAAAATAGTTCAGGCCAAGAATTCAGGTACATATCCTGGAAGTGCTTCAGAGTATCCAAAGCAAGACCGTAACACCTTTGAAAGACCCTGGTTCATTGAAATGTCTTTTTATAAATAGATATCAATCTTTCATGAGTCAGGCTTTAAAATACTAGAGTTTTCAACAGCTGTGACATTCAGCATATCACCAGATGTTTGAAACTTGCAAGTTTTAATAACTGGTGAAGATGGGTTTAGGATGATGTCTTATGTCTTTTCTTGTAACAGTCTATATCTATATCTGATATTCTGTTTCCTCATTAGTTATAAAGATGCTCTGGAAATAATGTTTTGGAAAGAAATTCTATTAAATCAGTAAACGTATACTTGAGTAATATTTGGCAGGGAGGGAAAACCCCAAAATTGAGAAGATAGCTTGAAACTCTTAGCATGAAATTTTCTTACCTGATCGACCTTGAGTATAATGGTCTTAAAAGTAGCAAACCCGAACTGCTTTTGGAAAAGCATTAAAGAAATGTGGTAACCTTTACTGTAACTTAACTCTTCCTAATTAATCATTTTGTGTTTTGGGCATTCAATGCATTAATTGGAAAATTAGTAAATAGGGAGTAAAATGGCAGTACTTTAAGCCTTGCTTTGATAGATTTTCTGACCTGCTCAAAAGGAACATAATTATTTTCTTTATAGCTGAACTTACTAGCTCATCCCAATATTTTTGAGAAGACATTGACCTACAACCTTGCAATATATATAAGATTATAATATGGCTGCTGCTGCTCTGCTGTGGCGTAACTTTCCTCTGTCAGCCATCCATTCCTTAAGAATCAGTGGTATGAGCAGCCTTCATTAAATCCTATCTACTTCCTTAACAAAAATTGTTGGGACTAGGATTCTCAGTAGTAGACTTTACTTTCTTGTCTTCATTTTCTGTACAGGTCTGCTTCCCCTAAGCATCTAGCCTGCTAAGAGGAATAACATAGGATCAGAATTTTATTGTTCATAGGTGTAGTTTGGCCTGTGTAACCTCAATCCATGGTGATGTCACTCCACAGTACATGGAAAAGAGAAAATT